GCTGCAGCTCTGGTCTCAGTGGTGTGGGGTGGCCCATTGACAGCTTCACCCCAAAATGTGTGACAGTGCATGGGACCCCAGGACCTGTGTCCATCTGGGACCCCTGGGACCACACAAGTCCCCTGGGACCGGGGTGGAACTGACCCCGCTCCCCCCAAGCTGAGCTCAGCCCGGGTGAGGAGGGAGATGTGGCTTTGTCACTGTGCTCAGGGCTCAAGGACGGGGCGACCTCGGTGTTGTCCCTGGCCACTGACCTCCCCTGTGGGCCCTGAGACCCTCCCTAGGCTTGGGGACACACATGACCCCACTGGAGACAAGGTGCTGAGAGCAGGGCGTGCTGGGTTCATTTCTCCAAGGTAACTGGTGATAGAACAAGGGGAAATGGCCTTAAGTTACGTCAGGGGAGGTTCAGATGGGATGTCAGGAGATACTTCTTCACTGAAGGGTTCTCAGGCTGCTTAGGGAGGTGGTTGAGTCCCCATCCCTGCAGGTATTTAAAAGGTGGCTAGATGGGGAGCTCAGGGATATGGTTTAGTAGCGGGCAGGTACGGTTGGATGTGATGATCTCAGAGGTCTTTTCCAACCAGGTGATTCTATGTTTCTATGAATCCCTTTTTGATTTCCCTCCGGAACCCCGTTTCCAAGCAAGACATCCAAATGTGCTGGGAAAAGACCAAAGACCCAGCTGAAGGGACGCTCCGGCCTTTTTACCACCCCCAAGGGCCCAGGGTCCCCGTGACACCCAGCGCAGCCCCTGGGCTCTGCGTTTCTTCCCCCCCCAGGTAACATTCATCCCTGTGGACCTCGAGGCCAAGCGGTTCCTGGACCACAAACCCATCGTGCTGCCGGAGTGGGACACCCGGTAGGTCCCGTTTTCCTTTTGGAAGGTGTTTCCATCTGCACACAGGGTTATCTGCGTGCCCCTGGGGACAAGGACGGTGTCTGAGCACGCTGGCACCGGGGACAACTACACCTATTGCAGCACAAAATGACACGCAGGGGCCGGGGTGGGGGAGGTGAGGGCTGGTTGAGCCCCCCTGGGTCAGAGCTGGAGTGATGCTGAGGGTGCAAAGCGTCCTGCTGCGTTCCTGTGGATGTCCCCTGCAAGGACTTGCTGGTGTGGGCAGTGGTGTGGTCTCAGTGGCCTCTAAAGCACCTGATGGAGTCCCATGTGGGTGTCCTCGAGCATCTCCTGGCTCGGTGAGGGTCTGGGTCCTGTTCAGCACCCCGTTCCTCCTTCACCTGCAGCTTGATCGCACCCTGCCCCAACCAAGAGGCCACCAGCACCTACGAGAAAAACCTGCTGTCCTATGAGCAGATCCAGAGGCAGGCAGTGGGCTCGGCCCCACTCCCACCCATGGCCCAGCCCAGACCCCGCAGCTGGTCCCAGCCAGCCATGCAGGCGAGAGCGGAGGTTCACCAGGAGCTGGGGGGTGCTGGAGAACCCCCCCGAGAGACGATTCCTCAGCTGGAAACAGCATCAGGCAGCTGGTAAGTGATGCCCAAAGGGTCAGGGTGGCACTGGTGGGATCTGGGGTGAAACCAGGGAGGGGTCAGACCCCCGGTGTAGGGGGAGAGAGAGAAGGCAGAGGGGTCTTTGCTGCTCACACAGCACCAATCCCCAGCCCCCCAGCCCCGCTGGAGCCCAGACAGTGTCTCAGCCCATGGGGTCTCTCAGTACCAAATTATTTACCAGGGTGAAATCGGGAAGAAATCTGGATTGCCTTCGGTTGTGATTTGCATTTTGCTTTTATTTCATTTTATAAATATAAACAATGCCCCTCGCCAGAATAAATCCCGAGTTCCTGGTCAGATTTTGATGGAAATGAGACGCTCAGTATCCATCCCTCAAACCAGATGCCATGTATGATGCCCATGTCTTGGTTCAGGGGATCCCAAAAGCGCTTTGCAGGTGATGTTTTTTTTTCCTCGAGGTGTAGGACTCGGGCTCCCACTTTGCCAAACCACAGCTACAGCTGGGACAGGGCGCTCTGCTTGCTCCCTGGGATGCTGGCACAGCGTGTGAGGACAGCCACTGCTTTGTCCCATGGGCAGCAGCAGGAGCCTGGCAGGCAGGTTGTCCCCATGAAGGCAGGGACTGGGGGCTGAGATAGGGCTTTTCTGGGGTGCCCCAGCCACCCAGCAAGGGGACTGGTGATACTGGGACATTGGCTGAGCAACACCAAGCCCTATGCCAGGTCCAGCAGCCACCAGTTCCAGGGGAAACCCCAGTGCCAGCCCAGCTGTGTTGTGTACCCCGACCCTTCCCACTGCCCCTCAGCCCTCTCTGTCCCTGCAGCCCCCCCCGGCCGGCCCCAGGGGACGCGCCACTGGCATCTCTCCTGGAGGACATGGACACGCCATCGCTGGAGGGCTCTGTGCCTGGCAGCCCTGTACCACCAGGCCGACCCCCACCTCCATCTGCCACCCACTCCAGCTGCACCCCAACCAGCTCCCCAACACAAGGAGACCACCCTGGTTCCCCCCGCAAAGGCACCGGGGAGGGGGATGACCTCTATTATGGGCTCCAAGAGGGGCCGGATGCTCTGCTGGAGGATAGCGACTGCCTTTTTGAGCCTGAAAACTGATTTCCTGGGGAGAACAGCCACTTGACATGGAACCATCTCAT